TGCAGGGTCCTGGGTTTAGTATCACTTTAAATACTTGCTTCTAGCAAAGAAATTCTTTCCTATAAGCAATCATAATGTGTAAAAACAAAATACTGATCGCTTCCTCAAAGTAGTAAAATGTTACTAGGGTAACATAATTATATTACTCTGGTATACTACTCACAATGTATACTGCATATATATATATATATCACCATCATACCAGTTATACAATGACACTACTGCTTTGGCAACAGTATGTAAAAAAGGAATATGATAAAAAAAAACTTTATTTAATTTCTTAATTTTACAAAAATGGACAACTTCAAAAAAATCACCCTGGCTCTTACTAAATACCTCAGGCTGTCTACTTTCTAAAGAGGGGTCATTTTGGAGGTATTTGTACTGTCCTGGCATTTTAGGGCCTCAAGAAATGAGTGCATCAGGATTGATCAATTTTCAGATATATATACCAGGGGTCTCCAAACTTTCTAAACAAAGGGCCAATGTTTTGTCCATCAGACTTTAGGGGGCCGGACTGTGACCAGTGGCAGTGGACATTTTCCTGGCATTAGTAGGTGTAAACATTGCCACATTTGGTATGGGGGGGGATAAGGCCCCATTGTTGGTATCATTGGAAGGAATAGTGCACCATCATTGGTGTCACTAGGTGAAATGGTTTTCCAACGTTGGTGTCAGTTGGCATATTAGTGTTTCAGTGAGAGAATAGTGCTCCAAGGGCCAGATAAAGGCAATCAAAGGGCCACATCTGGCCCCTGGGCCACAGTTTGGAGACCACTGATATATACCATAGTATGTAGACTCTATAACTTTCACACAGACTAAATAAATTAAACAGAAACTTTTTCTCTTATATAGCAAAAAGAAAAGACCCCAAAAACAGTGGCGATTGAATAACATCAAAAGAAAGCTCTATCTGTCTCAAAAAAGGATATAAATTTCATTTGGTTTGCATTCAAAGTGTGACAGTGCTGAAAGCTGAAAATTGGTCTGGACAGGAAGGTGGTGAAAGTGTCCAGTATGGGTTAAAGAGAGTTTAATAATTATATATGCTTTAACTGTAATAAAGGGCTGTAGCTATTTTCCAAGATGGCTTGTCTTTTGTTGTCTCATTTAATTAACCTTTTTCAATTTCAGGTGGTTTTGTTATTTGGTTAAAGGGTGCTTATAGATCATGCACAGGGCCATGGATAAGGGGTTACCACCTGTTCTCCTGTACAGGGCCCAGGCCAGCAGGGGGGGCCCAGGCAGCTTGGTGAATTGAATGTTGGCAGGGAGGGAGATCGTCAATTACTGGAACTAATCCCCTGTATGGCTCTCTGCAGCAGCTGTAAGCTGGCTTCTTCTCCTCTCTCTCCAGCTGGCTTTCAGCTGCTGCAGAGAGAGCCATACAGGGGATAAGTTCCAGTATCTTCCCCCACCGTACCATACATTTCCCCCTGCTCCCCAGGCCCCCCTATGTGCCCCCGCCCCTGCAGTGCTGTTGGCTTCCCTCCTCTCCTTCCCACTGGCAGCTGCAGTCATGCAATAGGATCCTTCAGAATGGAGACTGGGGGAAAGGCCCATTAAATATTTACCAGCCCTTACTTTCCTGAATGAACACAACAAGTGATTGGTACTAATCACTCACTGTGTTCATTCATAACTGAAGCCTAGTAAACTGTTTCTTTTCGAGGGGGCCCTGTCAGGCTGGCTGTATGGGGCCCAGTGGTTTCTAACAGCAGCCCTGATCATGCAATCCCTTGAGTGCATATAACAGGTCCCAGAGTATTATTAACCCCCCCCCCCCCCTGGTAGCAGAAGATTACAGCAGAGGGGATTGGAAAAAGAAGTTTTCAACTAATGCAGCAGCCAGCAGCACAAAGGACATATCAAATTAATAGTAAGCTATGCTCTTTGTGCTGATTTTATTTTTCTGACTAAATTGTTGTAAATTTTCTTTCCGTAAGTACAAAAAATGGCCCCCCCTGCAGGTGTAAGTCATAATGTACTAGTATGCACCGCATATTAGTACATTAATAGAGACTTATCTACAAATGGAGCCCTCTAGCGCTGGGCTGTCACAGCTTCCACAATCCCCATTAGCTTCCATATTAACCTAGACTTCCTTCCCGGGTTCCAAATCTTCAGCCACTTGATTGGTCGGGCTGCAGTAACCTCACTCCCGCACATGCGCACAGGAGTCACTATGCCACGGGATGCATAGTGTGTTTTAAATGCAGTCTAAGCTGCGCATGCATGGCTCAGATCACATTACTGCTGACAGGCAGAAGGGGAGACATGTATAAAAAAGCATGAGCAAACGAATGCTGTAACTCCTGCGCTGCACGATGAGCTCTACAATGTCAGTAACCCCACATGGACTACTTTTTGGGAATGCAAGCCATGCTGTCCTCAACGGACCAGGGAAATCTAAAGGAGCTGTGTTCAAATAAACAGAGGGCGCACGGGCCTAGTGTGTTACCTTCTAAAAATGAGATTTATTGAATAAAAAGTAGTAAACTCATAAAAGAATAAAATCAAAGGCACATCACAAAAAAGAAAGCATGGCCCAATCTCCCTAGATGGTGGCTGTTGGGGGATTGTAGGCCTCCAAATGGCTGATACGTTTCTAGGCAGAACGTCTTCCTCAGAGCTAAATCTACACAGCCTGTGTCCTCTCTAGGGTCTCCTCTGTTATAAAAACCCTGCCTTTTAGCAGATTTTGACATGATGGAGTTTACTACCATCTTAGCTTAATATGACTGAGAATAATTTTTGGAACAAAAATCAGAGGTGAGCGTTCACTAGTTTGATAGTTGCTTCCCTGGTCCTCATGAAAAACAGGCAAGTAGCTTTTTTTTTAAAAAAAAGACAGCAATGGCATTCTCTTAGCACAGTTTTCCTGTAAGTCCCCTGCCCACCAAATTATGCATGCTACAATATATTTCCTGCTGTTACTTTTCTGATTTTATCAACCCTTGTTTCATAGCTAGTTTACCTCTACTTCCAACCAAGTTGTACACTTTTAAATCACTGCTGATAATAATTCTTGTTTCATATCTGGTTAACATCTATTGTCTGCTGAGTTGTACATGCTATCTGCTTTGCTATAAATTACCCTTTGCCTGATATCTGGTTTGTATGTTGTACAGTCCTTCCCTTTTGAGTTTCTTGGTGTCAGATAGCCAAATGAAATATTGCTTAGATTTTTAAAAGGTAATTTTATCATTTAACCACTTTAGTTCTATCACCTGTACTCCTGAGGCATTTTTACATTTCAGCTATGGACCTATTAGTCTTTCTTTTGGATTTGTTCTTGAAAAAAGGTTTTTTTTGTGCTATTGAAATTATTTTTGTTCTACTTTATCCTGTGTTAGTTTTAAAAACCTAAAGTAACTGTAAATAAAATGTGAAAATTATATTTTGTGATTTGTCAAATACATAGTTCCACTAAAATTACATTTCTGGTATGAAGCATGATGAATTTGTTTACAAATTTAATAAGGTCTTTTATTTATAAAAAAAATTTGTAATTTGTATTTAACCACTTCAACTCTTATACCTGTACACCGACTGTTTATTCAGCAATCATTTTAATATTAATTAATAAATTAATACATACATATTTTTAGGACATTTTCAGTAATTTCATGCAATCTATCTAAAAACAGTATCAAAACTAAAAAATAATTCTCTAAATTCCATAAATGTTCTTGTTTAAAGTGACACTAAAATTATAATTTTATTACAAAGCATTGCAAAGTCATTTAAAAATGTATTAAATGCTTTATTTTCAAACTTGCACTTTTTTAATATGACACAAAAAGTAACAAACATTACAAATAAAAATGTAAATTTTCTGTTCATGGTTAGAAAACTAAAGAATAAATAATCAGTAGGAATATATGAGTGGAAGAAGTTATTAATTAGGGCTGAGTAGGGTAAACTAAGGGTTAATAAGGGGTTAGAAAAGAATAGATTTTATTTGAAAAACAACCTTTTTTTACTTTTTAGGTTTATTCCATAAATGATTTATTGAGGTCATTGTACAATGTACAGCATAATGTGGATGTGGTATGACGTCATGACACATTATACATAGAATAATATAGTGATCAGGCCTCAAATTACTGTAATGCTGCAACTATAATGAAGACATTTATTAATCAGAAAGAAAAACTTAGCCCCGTGATAGTAATTAAAGCTCATCTTGAAAGCTTGAAGAAGGGGTGCTCAACCTTTTTGAAGAGCGAGGGCTACTTAAGTTATTTGGCAACCAGAGACAGACCACAGTGAAATTAAATAGTTAAGAATTTTGAATGTTTTGTTTTGAATAGCATAATGAACATTTTCCTCCTGCAGCCACTGAATGCTGATGGGAGGAAGTAGGATCTGACTTTCAGTGGTTGCAGGAGAAAAATAGAGATGACTGGTTTCTGTATATGCCACCCCTACCACCCCTCATGTTCAAGTGTACAACAGAATGTGACAGGGAGGCTGCATGGGTCCCCTGGAGCAAAGGGCGGGGTCACCATTGTGACCCCTGATGATACACCAGTGGTTGAGGGTGTGTGGTAAAAAAACTTTCCCAATTATGCAGTTTTACCACCCCCAAACCACAAATGTAAACAAGTTCTTACTGTCCTGAGACCCCTATAGGGCTGCCTCACACTGATGCACTGCGGTTTACCCACACACACCTGTGGCTTGTCCTGTGGGTTAGCTGCACTTTGCGGGTCTGGTGCACTTTCTGAAAGCGCACCAAAACTCCTACATTCAGGAGTTTTGTTGTGCTTTCTGAAAGCACACCAAACCTGCAGCATATAATAGAATTCTATGGCTCAGTGTAGTTAACCCACATGAAAGCTGCAGATGCATTGCTCTGCACCTGCAGATCAGTGTGAAAGCAGCTTTATAGTTGTTAGCTCTTTTATAAGTGATAATATGCACATTGCAAAAGCACAGTGTATGTGTTGTTTACAATGACTTTCTGTTAGGGATCCCTCCTCTGTACAGCTGTGCGACGGCCCCGGATCCCCTCTGGCCGCGGCGGTGCGAGTGCGCATGCGCGGGAGCATGCAGGTGTGAATGCGCAGGAGCGTGCGAGTGCGCACATGCGCAGTAGCGTACATGTCTATTTAAACCTGCAATACAGTTTAGTCAATGCCTTCTGGTCTATAACGTTCTGCACTCTATAACCTGATTCTGTTGCCTGTATCTGACCTGATCTGACTAAGAAAGAACTCCGCCTGCACCGACCCCGGCTTATCCCTGACTATATGCTTGCCTGCTCCCTTGTACTTGGTTTGCTCATTTGATCCTGACCCGGCTTCTCTGACTCTGCTGCACCTACTTACCTGTATCTGCACCTGGCTTGTATCCTGATTGCTGCCATACTTACCTGCTGCTGCACCCACGGTCCTGCACCTGGCCTGCTGCCTGGTTGCCACCATACCTGCCTGCTGCCGTATCCATGCTCCTGTGTCCATTCCCGGTCTGCATCCCGATTGCCGCCATACCTACCTGCTGCTGCACCCACATTCCTGCATCAGCAACTGGCCTGCATCCGGATCTCCTGGGTCTTCACCTGCCTGCCACATGCTCCAGACCCACCCGACACTTATGCCACTCCTGGCTCTGCGCCCTCTGTTCCCACTATCAGGGGCTCCCAGCGGGAGAGAAAGAGTATGCCTCCTCTCCACGTCAGGCTCCCCAACCCGGTACGTGACAGTACCAGAAGGCCATGTCGGAGCCTGAGTGAGGGGGTTCTCTCCTCTGGAAGAGATCTGCCAGCACATTGTGGCATTGACACAAGCCATCAAGGGCCTGCAATAGGGTTATAACCGTCTAGAAAACCGTTTTCAGACTTTATCTGCACCCACACCCTCTGCTAGCAACGCAGTGACATCCACTCCAACTGTCACTCCAGGAGCCATGCTGAGCCCTGCAGTGATAATGCTTGATGATGCTGCCCCTAGAACATAGAGTTCCTACACCTGAAAGATTTTCTGTCGATCTCCACAAATTCAGGGCCTTCCACAATGCCTGTGAACTCTATTTTGCTTTGCAACCTAGTACTTTCTCTTTAGAGGTAACCAAGGTGGGGTTTGTGATCTCACTCTTCCAGGGTGAACCACAGGCATGGGCCCACCATCTGCTGGAGAAGGAAGATGCCAGCTAACTTCCTTAAACTGCTTCTTTGAAGCTATGGCACAGCTCTATGATGATCCCCAGTGATCTGCGTCAGCAGAAGCCACACTACACTCTCTTCAGAAGGGTCGCAGGGCAGCTGAGGACTATGTAACAGAATTCTGGCGTTGGATCACTGATACCAGTTGGAATGATGCTGCCCTATGATACCAGTTCCGCTTAGGCCTAGCCAAACCCCTTAAAGATGAGCTAGCTTGAGTCGGGGTACCAAACATGTTGGAAGAGCTCATTAACCTGGCTATCCAGATTGATCTCCGACTTAGGGAACGAATGTTGGAAAGATCTGCAGGCCAAGTTCGCCCCATATGGATGCTACCCAGGATACCACCTCCAGCGAGCATGGCACCAACCAGTCCTGCTACACCCAATACTGATGAATCTGAACCCATGCAAATAGGGTTGCACGAAACTCACTTACCCCGTAGGAACGTCAACGCCACCAACAGGGCAACCTATGCCTCTATTGCGGAGAACAGGGCCATTACATACGGAACTGCCCTGCAAAGCTACGTAAGTCTCTGACCACCCTGCATGCTAAACTATCAAATATCAACCCTACTCATCTTACCATTTCCATCTCATTCCAGCTTTTGAGAAGAACCCTGCCAGTACCCGCTATCATTGATTCTTTCCACTGTCAGAGCGTGAGTTGGAGGCATTCAAATACTACATCAAAGATAATCTCAAAAATGGGTTCATCCACCCCTCCACCTTACCAGCAGGTGCAGGGATCTTCTTCATGGAAAAAAAGGATCACTCCCTCCGTCCATGTATGGACTACCACAAATTAAATAACATCACGGTGAAGAAAAGATATCCTTTGCCACTAGTCCCAGAACTATTCCAGAGGCTCAGATCTGCGACCATATTTACAAAACTGGATTTCAGAGGGGCATACAATCTTGTAAGGAAGGAGATGAGTGGAAAACAGCCTTCCATACCAGGTTTGGGCATTACGAGTACATAGTTATGCCCTTCGGACTGTGTAATGCCCCTGCAACTTTCCAGCACCTAGTGAACAACATTTTCAGGGACTTTTTAGACATCTTTGTGATTGTATACCTTGACAAAATCCTGATATTTTCTGCATCCATCGAACTTCACCAGGGTCATGTGCAGAAGGTCCTTGGTCGCCTACAACTACACGGACTTTACGCAAAACCAGAAAAGTGTGAGTTTGAACGCCAGAGCATTCAATTCTTAGGGTTGATTATATCCAATCAAGGCTTCAAGATGGATCCCCAGAAAGTCTCCGCCATCCTGGAATGGCCTGCACCATCTGATAAAAAGGTAGTACAGAGCTTCATAGGCTTCGCCAACTTTTACAGGAGGTTCATCAAGGGATTCTCAGCCATCATCACTTCTATCGATCAACTGACTAAACAAGGAATCCGATTCCGTTGGACACCGGAAGCCCAAAACGCTTTTGAAGCATTAAAGGGACTTTTTACCTCAGCACCCATATTAAGCCATACAGATCCAGCACTACCCTTTGTGGTAGAAGTAGATGCCTTGAAGAGTGCTTTTGGGGCCGTCCTATCGCAGCGGCAAGGTCTGAAACTTCTGCTTCACCCTGTTGCTTTCTTTTCCCGAAAGCTATCACCAGAGGAGAGAAACTACGATGTAGGGGACTGAGAATTACTGGCCATCAAATCAGCCTTGGAGGAATGGAGGTACCTTTTGGAGGGAGCAGCACACCCCATTCTGATCTACACCGATCACAAAAATCTGGAGTACCTGAAAACTGCGAAACGTCTAAAACCCAGACAAGCCAGGTGGGCACTCTTCTTTTCCAGACTCAGCTTCCACATTACCTATAGACCTAAGAATATCAAACCCGGTGCTCTGTTGAGGATGTTTGATGACCCAACTTCTGTCTTTTACAACCAAACCTTTTTTCACAGATCCAGCAGGCATCTTTTGGGGCTCCATCCCCTCCAGGAATATTTCTGTCCTCTAGAGAAGGGTTACTATGGTCAGGGAATAGAATCTTTGCACCAGAAACTACCCGGCTGGCAATTTTAGAGCTTTGTCATGACCATCCGCTGGCAGGACATTTCGGGGTACACAGACCTTAGACGTAGTGCAGCGCCCATTCTGGTGGCCTGAGTGGGAGAAGGACTGCAAGGCTTATGTAAATCCCTGCCCCAACTGTATACAGAACAGGGGTAACCGAAGCAAGACCTGGGGATTATTAAAGCCTCTACCAGTTCCTGACCGTCCGTGGAGAATGATATCGATGGACTTTGTTGTAGAACTGCCACCATCTGAAGGATGTTCAGCAATTTTTGTTATAGTGGATTGGTTTTCTAAAATGGCCCACTTTATAGCCATGAAGGGAGTACCGTCTGCAGCAAAAACAGCCCAAATCTTTATAACAGAGATGGTGAGGCTCCATGATGTCCCAGGCAACATAGTCTTGGATCGAGGGGTGCAATTCACCGCAAAGTTCTGGAAAGCTCTTTGCAAGAAGTTGAAAGTGGGACTCTCACTCTCTTTCGCCTATCTCCCTCAGACCAATGGCCAAACAGAAAGAACCAACCAGACCTTGGAGCAATACATTCATTGTTTCACATCTTTTTCCCAAGATGACTGGGTATCACTTTTACCCTTGGCTGAATTTGCATACAATGATTCGAAACACAACAGTCTCCCTTCTTCTCTAACTATAAATTTCACCCTGCATTCCTATCCAATCTATTGCCTGAATCAGCAATCCCAGCAGTCCAAGATACCTTTGAATTCCTTCAACAGAACAACAAGATGCTACAGGAGACAATCTCAAAGGCTCAGTTAGACAATAGGAAGCTCTTTGACAGAAAAAGGAGGGGGGACCTGGTCCTGGAACTTGGCAAAGAGGTATGGTTGTCAACAGCCAATCTAAGGTTAACCTGTCCCTCAAATAAGTTAGGCCCCAAATTCGTGGGACCTTTCCAGTAAAAAGGAGGATTAACGATGTAGCATACGGGCTCACATTACCAGAATCGCTAAAAGTCCATCCCGTATTCCACGTATAGTTGCTCAAGACTGCAGTCTCTAACCCCTTTCCAGGTTGGGAATTGGGGCCACCTGAACAAGTGATCATTGACGGCGAAGAGGAATATGAGGTAGAAACAATTGTTGACTGTAGGAAAAGGAGGAACCAACTCCAATAATTAATTATTTGGAAAGGTTATGGACCTGAACACAATTCATGGCCCAGTTAGGCATCTGGAGACTGCCCTTAGGGAGGGGGCACTGTCAGGGATCCCTCCTCCATGCAGCAATGCGATGGCGCCGGATCCCCTCTGGCTGCGGCGTTGCGAGTGCGCATGTGCGGGAGCATGCGGGCATGCATGCGCAGAAGCATGCAAGTGCGCGCATGCGCAGTAACATACATGTCACCTCAAGGCGGGCTATTTAAACCTGCAATACAGTTTAGTCAATGCCTTCTGGTCTATAACGTTCTGCACTCCATAACCTGATTCTGTTGCCTGTATCTGATCTGACCTGACTAAGAAAGAACTCCTGAACCAACCCCGGCTCATCCCTGTCTATCCGCATGCCTGCTCCCTTGTACTTGATTTGCTTGTTTGATCCTGACCTGGCTTGTCTGACTCTGCTGCACCTATTTACCTGTATCTGCACCTGGCCTGTATCATGATCGCTGGCATACTTACCTGCTGCTGCACTCATGGTCCTGCACCTGGCCTGCATTCTGGTCGCCACCATACTTACCTGCTGCTGCACCCACAGTCCTGCACCTGGCCTGCTTCCTGGTTGCTGCCATACCTGTATGCTTCCGCATCCAGCTCCTGTGTCCATTCCCAGTCTGTATCCTGATTGCCGCCATACCTACCTGCTGCTGCACCCATGTTCCTGCATCCACACCTGGCCTGCATCTAGATCTCCTGGGTCTTCACCTGCTTGCCACCCGCTCCAGACCCACCCGGCACTCGTGCCACTCCTGGCTCTGCACCCTTTGTTCCCCCTATCAGGGGCTCCAAGCAGGAGTAGTAAGAGGACACCTCCTCTCCACGTCAGGCTCCCCAACCAGGTATGTGACACCTTCTTTTCCTCTTCCAGCCCCTGCTAGCATTGCTTTCCAGAAAAGCTAGAAAAGTCCCAA